CCCCCCCCCCCACCACCACTCTTCAATAAGCTCTGTGGTCCCTGACTCAAACAAAGAGAATGTCATTCTCAAGGGAATGACACAAGGTCTGAACTGGGTACCAATAAACATGGCACCAAGACAATTAAGCTAAATTTAAACAAAGAAAAGAACCATTTGTTTGGAAAATATCATCAGTTGTTAGCTTTGATACAAAATTACCATGACTAGCATCAACTCACCCCCACATTTCCTTTGGATAAGTCAAGACCAAACTGTGCAGGCCCAGCGTTCAACACTATACTTCCTTTATATGGAGGGGACATGAGCTGTACGACACGTGGGTTTGCACTGGCACCTGAATACACAAAACACAATTAGGTACAATAAGGGTGCTGCACCGGAATTAAAAAAAACACTCTTATCAGGATAAGTAACGCGGGGAAACCATCTAGTCTACCCCTAACCACTGACCATGTAGTCAACACTCAAGGTCTTAAAATAACCGAAGAGAAGGTGCTGCCTTTGTAATAATATCTGCAAATGGTTAGACCTTCAGGTCTTCTCGGATAAGGGCTTTAAACTGTAGGCCCTGTGTCCCAACCCTTCCTAACCTGCAGTAAAGATGGGGGACATAACATAACCTGTTGAATTATTCGTGTAAGAGTAGGGGATTTCCTCCCAGTTCACCAGCCTATCCCTGTCTGGAGGCATAACACTAACGTACTAACAAATCACTCATGATTGTAAGCTGCATGGCTGCTAATAGCGCCTTTAATATGCAGCCTGTAAGTCCTCCACTGATCATAATAAATTGCATTGAGACAAGTGTCAAATGCGCTATGTAAGAACCTCCCATTATTATTATTATTATTATTATTATTATTAATCACTCTTGAAAGCACCTGAAAGGCTGGCCTTTTTTTGAATACTCATCCTAAATTTGCCTCCACCTCCCCGCAGCAATGAACTTTGTGCAGCCAAGGCCCCACCCATAACTTAACAATACAAAAGGTGTTTTGGAAAAAGTATCTGGAGAGAATCTTTTACAATTATAGGGTAACTACTACTGTATAACCAGGGCCATTTACACAGCTAACCAATCAAAATGTTGAGAGAAAACAATGCATTCCACCCTTGGATAGTTAGGGCAATCAGAAACCTGGGCTGTACAAGATTGGCACCACTACCCAAAGTTAGAATGTGTTGTTTTTACACTACATTTTGATTGGTTCTTGCTGTCTAAGTGGYGCCGGTTTCAATAGCTGCACTGTCATACTGTTAATGACCTAACATAAAGTATTAGTAGTATTAATAATGTACCTCCATCGTCATTGCGCTGCTTTGCTAACTCAATCATTTCTTGCATAAACTTGATGCCATCTTCTGCATCAGTCTTGGAGTAGGCCTTAAAACAAATAAATTAGACACAGGTACAATGTTACCATATTTCATAGCTCAAGCAGGCCCTTTGAGGGATTTATAAGCAATGAATTTATAAATTCTAAATAACTACAAATAAGTGTAACCTTACATCAAACTCTAGGATTATTTTCAATAGAAGGACATAACCATACGTTATTTGGGCCTGCTTGAACAAGCTCTATCCAGAAAAAGCTTTGGCTATCCAGGAGAGTTAAAATAATATTAAACAAAGTGAACTTTATTTTTTATTTGTGGAAAAGAAGAAACATGTTTAATTTTTTACATGTTTTACTTTTGAACTCGATAAAAAAATCATGACTTGGCCATTTTTCAATTTTTTTTGCTGACTAGTATTTTTTTAAATTATATAATACATTGAAATTATTATTGCATTAATAATACAATAATAATAATGTAGTCTTAAATTGGTGTTTATATTGAAGGACCATGCCCAAGTTTATTATTTAGATTTCCCTTTTTACTGTGCGGACACACTAACCGAGACCACTTCAATAAAACTGACCAATCAGATAACAGTAAACTAGATAGAGATTGCACAGATAACAGCATTAGCCAATCAGATTGTCTCGTTCCCATGCTCTTATCATATTGATGTGCTATCTGATTGGCTGGTTGAAAAAATTGAACTACATATCGCAATATGATTGGTTAATGATACAGGTTTATTAAAGTGGTCCCGTTTGGAGTATCCACACAGTTAAATAAAGATCAAAGAAAAGAAGCAAAATCTAATAGGGACTTTAAGATTTGCAAAATCTGTGATGGCGACGTCTACCGGAAGTGTAAACAACTTCACTTTGGGGTTTTGCGCCTTCAAAGTCTGTATTTCCTGTGGATGAGTTGACTTTACTGACAATGTTTTGAATAAAATTTCCAATGAACAGAACCCCAAAAAGAAATTATTATTTACACATCCGGTTGATGTCACCGTCGCGACTCTTTAAAACCCTAATATCACCCTTCTAAGTGAAGAGGATATCAAAATGGTTATTAGTCACAAACATTTGTCCAATTCAATTGGAAATGAAGTGAACCTTAGGCAGTAATTCAATTATTGGGTGGTTAAATGTATATTATTATTTGGTGCAAGAATGTAAATTTAAAGGTTAGTTGGACAAGTTGCTGAAAGCCAATGCATGCTCATTTGCAGCCATGCAGAGTCCAACTAACAGACACATGAACTTACAATTAAAACAGTCTTTTCATGGCTGTCATCATTATTAGAAATTTCCTCACTTGTTGTCAAAGGGTAGAGCTGAATGTGTAAATTCAAATGAAATGCATTTCTGATAAATCTTTTCATTCAGCTACTCAAACTCAAATTTAATGGGCTCGTCAGTAAGAGGTAGACCTAGGGGGATGTAGGAAAAGAAAATACCCCCCCCCCCCCCCCATTGTGAATCTGATGACAATTTTCAGGAGCAAACTAAGCCCCAATTTTCATTGACTGATTTGATTAAACTTTATAATTTATTTGGTTAAAATGTTAATGAACTGTTGACCATGCCCTCAATTAGATATTAACATCTGGTTGTAAAGTTATTAAATAAATACAAATAAATAAATAATGATAATTTTTTAAAAATATTTGCAAAGTTGTATCTAAGGATGACACAAATGCCAATTAACACTCTATAGCGACGTGTGTTGGCACTAGCACTGCCTGAAGTATCCACTAATGATTGGCCAACCATCTGCCGAGTGTTGAAAATCACATGCCGTCGGTCATAAATAAAGTACATGATTGCACCTCAGGAAATCATTTATGAAACTTAGGGATTTCATTGTGATATGACAAAACAAAACTTACATTTGACGCAGAGTGCATTAACTGGATTCTCCCTTCTTTGGTTTGTGCTACAGTAATCCCCATGGATTTTAGAATTTCCAGGTGTTCTTCATTGCCAGGAACAAACTGCTCAGCACGGAGACGGGGAGGTCTGATAAAAATGGAAAAAAATTTAATAATTTTGTCATCTTTGGGTGCGATTTTCCAGGTGAGTGTAGTCTTGAGAAAGACTGTTGTTGGTGGTGACTCAGGTTTCGACAACCTGAGTGGAAGTCATCTTCAGAGCCCATGCATGTTTTCATTTTTATCAGGGAAGCACAGAAGGCATAACATGCTAAATAAATGTGCTATGTTTTACAGTGCATCTACTGTAACCAGGGACACTTAGTCTCAGTTTATAATTACATCATAAAGTCTATTCAAAAACAATTCGTATCTTACTTGTTGGAGGAGAAGGCAAAGGTTTTCTTTGTTGGACAATTTTGAGATTGGGATTTGAGTAACACTTGATCTCTTATGCTCTCGGCATACTTGACTTTGTCACCAGAGTTTCCAGTGTTGGGACAAGAAAAATCATGTTCATTTTCTTCATTTAGTGTCACATTATAACGTAATTCCTGGAACAGGCAAACGAAGAAATTCAGAAAGCATGACACAGATGTACAATGTTGGACAAGTACTAATATACTTTTCCAAAATTTGCTACAAGTGACCATGAAACAATGGTCCTAAAGGAAATAGTAAATGACCCAAGTGGGTGTCGGTAGGGTATGGGTCAACACCACACCCTTGAGCAACATTCTACCATTAGCCTACCAAGATCTGCCTAAAAGCAACCGACAACCTACCATTACTGTCAGTGGTGAATATAATACAGAGTTTTAGATTTAAGAACTTTCAGGGCAAACGTCAGTTGACCAGTGAAATTATTTGAAAAGGAATTGAAAAAAAACAACCTAGTAGTAGAAAAAAAAAACAATATTTGTGTGTAGTGAGAAAGTTTTCAATAGCTAAAATGAAATACAGGAAAACAATGAAAACGTGATGCTGTTTGCTGTTTGCAGGAAGAAAAAAAGGTTATCTTAAACTCTGTAATACATCAAGTCCAACCTCAACTTTGAATCATTGTCTTATGGTCACTGACCGTTCTATCTTGGGTGCAATGTTTTCCCATTTTAGACCATGTGTCATTCCCTACAGTATCATTTCTTTGTTTAATTATTTTGCATGAGAAGTCACATGAATATGTACACAGCTCAAACAAATTATAATATTATTCTCTTTGGAAAACATTACTCCCAAGGTAAAGGGTCTAGTATTTACAATGCAAACAATTATTGTTATAAAACATTTCACCTGGTAAGCTGTTTTGTTTGCTTGAATTCTTGACAGGCTTAAGGGTAAGAGATGAGCTTCTGTAGTGAAGATAAACTCATTCATGTGTAACGGTGTGTCTTCTTTCTCAGAAAACAGTAGAAAAAGGTATTTGAATGTCTCAGCTAGAACAAAGGAATCCATTCTAGAAAAAAAGAAAAAAAAACTAAGACAAGCCATGACTGAATAATGTGAGGAAAAAAACACCACTTAGAAGTAGTGATAAGGCAAACAATATTGACAAATGATTTTGCAATTTTGAGTAAAAAGATGATTAATTTTGCTTCCACAGTTTTCGTTTCTTCTCAAGTAGCAAGAGTGCAGACTATTTCTAGACCTGAAGTTGTTATAGGATATTCATAATAAATGTTGTCGAGCTGTCAAGATTACCTGTCTTCATGTGAGAGTGTTCTGACGTCCTTCAGAGCAGCAAATCCACAAGGTACTCTAGCATGTTCATTGATCTTGTCTACAATATTTTTACCAACGTCTAGGTAGTATGGATCCCCTGTTGCCTGAAGAAAAAAAATCATAAACAAATAATGAAGCATATATAAAACCAGATTTGTCCTTTTTTTCAAAGCATAACAAATTTATAGTTCATGGTAATCTATGTTTCGCTGATCTAATTCTTGATTCGCAAAGGGCAGATCCAGGAATCAAAGAAAGGGTAGGCCAGAAAATTTTGTCCTGAGAGAAAACCTTCAAGAGAGTATGCAAATACACTTTTCAAGTTTCCCAAAACTGTAAACAAATAATGCTAACCTCATATAAAAAGAAAGTACTTTCAACTAATTCTGGGCGAAGAGGATGTTCACCCCAGTGAACCTCAAAGTCTGTAGTAAATGCCTGTTTGAAAAGATTGAAATACAATACAATCAGTACAAATTTGATACAATTACTGTAATCAGCGAGATAAATTTATTTTTTTCACAACCTAAATCTCTTTACCCAAACTTTAATAGAGATGGAAGGGAGCACTCTTAAAATTGGGAGATGAGACTTGTGATTTCAAATTATTTAGGGAAGCACTCTTGAGAGGCCCTCACCTCTCATCAATGCAACCCGAGTTCGAGTACCCCCAGAGGCTCAGTTTTGTATGTGAATTGAGTTTCTAGTTGGCTCTGTCCTCTGCTTCGAGGGTTTTTTACCCCAAAAGCCAGTCTTCCTGTAGGTGCATCTAATCAAGTGTTTATTTCATGACAAAATAAAAATCTTAAAAACTTCAAATATACCTCAGGTAGAAAAGTGTGTTTCTTGGCTACTTCGTACAACATATGATGCATTTCTATGGCTTTCTTAAGATCTCCTTTCAGAACCTGTAAAGATGAGTTACAAAGTGTTTGAGCTTGAAGTTAAATGTTCACATTTATTTACTATAGAATATGAAAACCTTCCTGGATAAAGCTATCCTGAAGTGCTTGAACCCAATGTTCCTAGGTACCAGTAAGTTATTATGGCTGTCTTAGTATGGGCTACCTTTGTATATAATATAGTGAGGGACTGGGACAAGCCCAACCTCTGCTTGTGGTTATTAAAGATGGCAGGTTATAATCAAGCCGTTCAAGTTACCTGAAGCTATAGCCTCCCCTGTTCTTTAACAATGGCTACTGTGCTAAAGATTGCCCATGGTCAATAAACGGTCTGTAAACTAGAGTATATAGTACTTACTTGCAAACCTGGCCAAAAAGCCTGTAACGCATCCATGTAAGCATGGGAGGTTCTTTCTGGTTGGTTCATTTGGACGCTAAGAAACATGGCTCCTTGGTTTATATACTGCATTATGGACTTGTAATGCTGGAGATATTAGTCAGTACGCATTAATTGTGGCCATCATTTCTCATAAATAATACAATAAAATCTAATCCTTTAATTAACAGATCAAAAACAGTTTTCCGTGTTTGATACTCTGATCAAAACACCCAGGATGTTGAGAGTGAACACAAGAGGAACGTAGGAACACAAGAGGAACGTAGGAAACCATGGCGCATAGCTTCTCAAGTGTTCTCTCAACATCCTAAGTGTTTTGATCAGAGTATCAAACACGGAAAACTGTTCCTTGATCTTTTTCATAAAATAAAAAACACACCAAAAACGGAAAAAATATCRTATGTTATTCTGATGTATTTGTAAAGGATGACGCGAGCGTGTTTTGATACCCTCATCAAACATGGTTTTCGACCAATTGTAGCGCGTGTACTATTCCAATTATTTTATAATAGGTTTTTTAATTCAGGGTTTTGATAAAATTTGTGGCTGCTAAATGAAAAAAATAGAGAATAACGTAAATGTTTATTTCAGAATGAAAAAAAGTCGGTTTTACCTTGTTAAATCTTTCTAGGTAGGTTACATTACCAAGTAAAATGTAAGCCTTCAAGCAATATTCATAGTATGAGTCAATGCCTGCACCAACACCACTATCTGATTAAAGCAATAACAAAATGATATTATCAAGAAACAATCTATAGTGAGTATTGGGCTACCTGTGGAGTTTACAACAGGGAGCCCAACRTTATTTTCAGACTGTTATCCACTCCTCAAAGACAATGCTTGCAGACAACTGAAGATTAGACTAGCTGGTAGGTCAATTGATTTAGAATAAAAGTACTATATTGTTTCATAGCAAGTGGTTGAAAATTGCTACACACAGAAGCAATACCAGACACCTTAATAATAATAATATAATAATAATAATAATATTTATTTATAAAGCGCAAATACAAATCTGTTCTAAGCGCTAGTAAACAAACGACAAAGACAACGACAAAATAAAAT